AGGCGAGAAAGAGGGAGCAGGTGGAGGCGAGAAAGAGGGAGCAGGTGGAGGCGAGAAAGAGGGAGCAGGTGGAGGCGAGAAAGAGGGAGCAGGTGGAGGCGAGAGAAAGCAGAAAAGGGTCAAGAGAAAGAGTAACAGTAGGGGAGTGAGTCAAAGAAAGAGACAGGCAAAGAGGGAGAGAGCAAGTGGGGAGCATGAAAGTAAGTAACAGCGAGACTTTTGTTCTTTATGCCATTGTGCAATGGTAAAGATCATGTAAAGTATGGTAAATCAATTTTGAACTCCATGCAGGTTCAATGTATTGCTTTACACTTACCCACAGGAACCGATGTCTCACAGTGATAATAACCATTTGGTTGTTTCTTCTTCAGCATTGAGCAAAGATGTAGACAAGTCACAATCTCATCACCCAAATAATGATCTTCAAAATTTTTATAGAGTTCTGGAGAAAATTTCTTAATTCCCTGCAAAAGGTAAATAATTTTGTAGTGTTAATAGCATTGATCATAAGTTTGCAATCATTTCAATAGCAATAGTAGATTTTACATTATTTGTGTTCTGAAAACTTAATTAATTTGACCATTCACAATGCACCAAAACAATTTAATGATAAAACTGCAATTCTCATTTTTCTTCAATAGGTATATTTCTGAAGGAAAATCTGTTTAGTTATCTAATATATATAAATGGGGTGGGTGGTCAGTTAGCTCAGTTGGTTAGACAGCTGGTTCGTGACACAGAGCAACACCAACAGTGTGGGAAAAATTCCCACACCAGCTGAGATCTCCATGAAGACTCTCATTCTCAACCTCTCCCCTTGCCTGAGGCACAATGACCCTCAGGCTAAACCACCACCAGTTGTTTATCTCTCTCTAATAAGAGAGTGCGACTATGGTTGGGAAAGACTATAGCATTTTACATGAATTGGTTGGAAATGCTTTATTTGTGTTGATCCAGGATCCATATGCCATGTTTATGGCTCGTAGCCTTGAAGTTTGTTAAAAGAAGGAAGAGGGCAGGAGATTTAGGGAGGGAATTGCAGCTGAAGTCAATCGTATACCAAATAAAATTATAAATGTTAAAAAGACCAGAGTAAAGAACTTTTTAAAAATTCTTTCATGTCAACAGAATGGCCAGCAACTGCTGCCCATCCCTAAATAACTTAGATCTGGCTTTTTAAACTGCTGCTCCATCTGGTGGAGGTACACCTAAAGTGCTGTCAGGAAGGGAGGTCAAGGAACTTTGACTCAATGGCAGGGAAGGGAAGGCAACATATTTCTGGATGTCATGACAGGGTGTGGCTCAGAGGAAAAGTTGCAGATGGTAGTGTTGAATTTGTGAATTTGGAAGGTCTCAGTGAATGACCCTAGCTAGGTTTCACTATTGTATCTTGTAGATGGTATACACTATTGCTCCTGAGCATCAGTGGTGGAGGGGGTGAATGTTTGTTAATATGGTGCCAATCAACTGGGCTTCGTTTGTCCTAATGGTGTCAAGCTTCGAGCGTTGTTGGAGCTACATTCATCCAAGGACATTAGGAGTATTCAACCACCTCCTAACATTGATGGTGGATAGGCTTTGGGGAAACCAGGAGCCCAGTCACTTGCAGCTGAATTCTAAGCCTTCAATCTTGTAACCACTGTATTTATGTGCTTACTTCAGTTAAAGTTCAGATCCACAGGGATGTTGATGGTGGAGTATTTTACAAAGTTGACGTGGTTGCTAACATTCTGTGAAGATCAGAGGGAGATGGTTGTATTCGGCCATGTTGGATATAGACACATGCTGTGAATGTTACTTGCCACTCATCATTCTAAGCCTGGCTGTTATCAAAGTCTAGCTGCAGATTTCATGGAATGCTTCATTATCTTGGCAATCATAAATCATACCAAAGACTGCAATCATCAAAGATTGTACCCATTTCTGACTTTATGATAGAGGGAGGTTCATTGATGAAGCAGCTGAAGGTGGTTGGAGCTCTCACCTTACCTTGAGGAACTAAGACTCTGTTGAGCCTGGAGACACAGGTTCAAGTCCCGCCTGCTTCAAAGTGCATAACAACATCTCTGAACAGGTTGATTAGAAAATATCGACTCTGAGGAACTAGGGCTCTTGTGGTACAGTGGCAAAGTCCCTACTCCTGAGCCAGGAAGCCTGGGTCAAGTTCCACCTGATCCAGTGTGTTATAACATCTCTAGATTAGAAGGTATCGACACTGTGGAACCACTGGATTCCTGAAGCTGAGATGATTAACGTCCAAAAGCTATAGTCCATCTTCCAATGTGTTCAGTATAACTCGAAGGAATAGATCCCTATTGATAGGGATTTATAAGGCTTTTTAATAAAATTTCATTCATCGCTTACAGAGCCAGCATTTGTTGTCCATCCCCAATTGCTCGAGAGGATGGTGGCGACCTGCCTTCTTGAACCATTGTGGTCCACTGGGTGTAGGCACACCCATAATGCTGTCAAGGAAGGTTTTCCAAGATTTTAAACCAGCAACAGTGAAGGAATAGTTTGGCAGGGTGCAGCTAGTTCTGCAGCACAATTCTTCAGTACTACTGCCAGTTTGCTAAGGACCAATAGGCTCTGCTGTGTCCAGTGCTTTCAGTTATTTCTTGACATCACGTAAATCAAATTGGGTGAAGACTGGCACTTGACTTGCTGGGAACCTCAGTATAGGGAGTGTAGATATCTCAGATTTCTGGGACTGGAGGATATAACTGACATTTGAGGGGTGAAGCAGTAGATGAATTTAAAAACAAGGATGAGAATTTTAAAACCAATGGATTATACAGAAGAGAAGACAGGAAGCCAGCAGGATTGGTTTGCGATGGCAAGTTTAGTGATATACTGAGTGAGTTCAAAAACTGCTGCTTAGATTTAGGATTATACAGACAGCCAGTTTGCAGTGTTGCTTTGAAAATTCCCTTGGAAACATCTTAATCTAGCCTCTTCAATAATGGAGAAGTGAGGCACAGATTTTTAAGTCCATGTATTTGCGTACGTGAGTGAGAGAGAGCGAGAGCACGCGACAGAGACAGCATGCAAGAGAAACTTCACTGCAGCAAGAATTGGCACAACAGTGTTTCCATTCACTGACCACAGGGTCACAGGCACCTCCATGAAGTTGGTACACATCTGTACCAGTAGAAAAACAGCTCAAAGATCACTAAATGGGCTGGGAGAAAATGAAGAATACAGATAGGCCACTGGAATGCAGAGGAAACAATAGTTTGAGATACTGGTCTTATTTCTTGACCAACACAAAGAATATACTTCTTCCAGGATTTATATGAACATATATTAATAAAGCTGTAATATTTCGGTGCATCACATGAACAATTCATAATAAAAGTCTAAAAACATTTAGTAACTGATAACACATTTGCACAGTGCATTGCAGCATTAACATACAGTTATTAATTGAAGATTCAATTCCACCACATTTCTGATTTTTCCTTCATTGCCTTTGACATTTTATATTCTCAGGTTCTCTGGCCAAAGGTTGGTTCTTGACAATTATTCACAAAAGGGTGAAATGGCTCACTCTTGTTCCCAGGTCCTATGACCCTATTCACCGAACCACAACAAAGTATGCTTTACTAGTAGTAGGGCGATGGGACAGACATCAAGTCTACAACAGCCGGAACAGGGATTAAACACCATACCAAGCACATTAATCTGATCTGCACACTAGCGATCCAGACAATTTAGTAAACCAATCAAGTACATAGTGACTGCATGCAAATTCAGAGGCAAAGTAATTTTTGGCAAACATTTGCATAGCTTCTGGTGGGGCTCTGAGTTTCTAATCAAAATGTAGATTTAAAATCTTAAATACATCTATAATCTTGCAAAAATGAGGCAATGTAATTTTACCGGAGATAGTAGGAACTGCAGATGCTGGAGAATCCGAGACAACAAGGTGCAGGGCTGGATGAACACAGCAGGCCAAGCAGCATCATAGGAGCAGAAAGGCTGACGTTTCGGGCCTAGACCCTTCATCAGAAAAGGGGGAGGGGGAAGGGGGTTCTGAAATAAATAGGGAGAGAGTGGGAGGCGGATAGAAGATGGATAGAGGAGAGGATAGGTGGAGAGGAAACAAACTGGTCGAAGAGGCGGGGATGGGGCCAGTAAAGGTGAGTGTAGGTGGGGAGTTAGGGAGGGGATAGGTCAGTCCAGGGAGGACGGACAGGTCAAGGGGGCGGGATGAGGTTAGTCGGTAGGAGATGGGGGTGCGGCTTGAGGTGGGAGGAGGGGATAGGTGGGAGGAAGAACAGGTTAGGGAGGCGGGGACGAGCCGGACTGGTTTTGGGATGCGGTAGGGGGAGGGGAGATTTTGAAGCGTGTGAAATCCACATTGATACCACTGGGCTGCAGGGTTCCCAAGCGGAATATGAGTTGCTGTTCCTGCAACCTTCGGGTGGCATCGTTGTGGCACTGCAGGAGGCAGTGTTAACTTCTGGTTTTTGGGAACTAAACTAGTTTACTTCCGAAAACCTGATCACTTGAACACATGGATTACTACAAATTCAAGCACAGTTCACAAGTCAATCATTCTTTTTAACTACCCCAATTTTAAGTCCATCACTTAAAAACAATGCAATTTCAAATCCATCCAGAGTGTCACAGATATAAAGTGTTCAATTTATGTAACACTACTTGAAGAACAAAGCAAAATGTCAGGTCTACTTATAAATTTTATCTGCTAACGTATCAAACATTTTAACTTATCATTATCCACAACTACATTATCAGTTGACAAAAACTCAACAATTACGAATGATGCAGTAACTGGGTGACGTTGAACCATTTTACTTACTAATAACCAACTGCAAATTGAAAACAATTGATTGTATAACTAATTTTTAAATGCAAAAAGGTAATGGTGAACCTGTTGAGATCTTGCAGGGAAAGTCATGAAGACAAATTTGTAATCTCATGTTTTAGAATCCTGCTACAGTTTAAAGATTCAGTGTTTGATCCTAGTGACTGCACACAAACTGAAGAAAATTTCTGTTGGACTTGAATGTAGATGACAATTGTTGATGAAAGGGAAAAGTGCATTTCTTAAAAGTCACCAACTAATAAATTACTACCTGCGCCAAAAGTGTCCAAGGCAACAAAACAACTGAAAAATAAAAAGTTACATTTGCACTTCGTATACCATGTGCACATCAAAACAATGGAATACAAAGTGTCGACAAGAATCTCACAGAAATATCAGAGCCTATGTTAAGTGTCCATTCGCCATACAATTCTCCTCTACTTTGATCAGCATGTACTTTATATAATAATACATAGCTGAGAGGGAACTGATTAAAGAGATGTCAAGGACCTAATGGATATCATACTAATTTATGGAGTTAAACTAACCAAATAATATACATGCGACCAAGTGGTGAGCACATTATTTCAAATGCCTTTAACGAACATTTCAATTAGTTTCTCTAGCATGATT